TACACTCTAAAAAATGCTGGGTTATTTCAACCCAACTTTGGGTCAAATATGGACTAACCCAACCGTTGGGTTAAATTTTTTAATTCAATTTTTAACCCAAAAGTTGGGTTAGTCCATATTTGACCCAAAGTTGGGTTGAAATAACCCAGCATTTTTTAGAGTATACTACTTGTTCAGAACACAGTTTGACACTGAGCTACACACACACACACACACACACACACACAAAACTTCCACACTGCAGTGTAGCAACAATATTCATACAATATTTGCTTTACTATTCAGCAACACTCACACATAATAAATAAATACCAAGAGCAGCAATGAAAACAACTTTGTATTCCATCAATTTAAACTCAGTGTACTTGGTCTGAGCAGAGAGAGCGAGTAACATCTAGAAGTGTAGAGGACAGACTCACGGCTGATTGAGAGTGAATATACGAGGAAGGAAGGAAGACTAATGTTCGGAGTCTCGGGGATAAAACTCGGCCAGAGTGCTCTGAGGAATCCTCTTCAGCATCTCCTTGGGGAAGATTCTCAACAAAACATGCTAGGCTCATTCTGAAATTATATAATAGTGCAGCCTGTTGCCATTCACATATATATATATATACATATATATATATATATTTCTATATATTAGATATCAACCTCATGTCATCAAAGATGAAGATGAGTTGTTTGTTGGAGAAATTTAACATTACATTTACATTTACATTTATTCTTTAGCAGACACTTTTATCCAAAGCGACTTACAATTGAGGAATATAATAAGCGATTCATCATAAAGAGGTAAATAAACACAGGAAGTGCTCGCAACACAAAGTTTCATGCATTGTTCAGATTAGTACAGACTAGACAGGAAGAGATTAAGGATGAAGTCAAATGGTTGTCACTTGAAAACTGTCAGGGATTCAGCATTCCGGATGGCGATGGGAAGATCATTCCACCAGCCAGGAATGGTGAACAAAAATGTTCTGGAAAGTGATTTTGTGCCTCTCCGTGATGGTGCCATGAGGCATCGGAAGGGCCTAATCTTTCTAATGTTGTGCAATGCAAACCTGCAAGATCGAGCAGTTTTTGCAATGTGGTCTTTGAAAGTCAGCTTGTCATCAAAGATTACATCGAGATTTCTGACCGAACTTGATGGGGTAATTGTTGATGAACCTAGCTGGATGGTGAAATTATGCTGTAGAGTTGGAGTGGCAGGGAAGACAAGAAGCTCAGTCTTTGCCAGGTTTTTGAGCTGTCTTTGAAGTCTTTGAGCTGTAGGTGATGATATTTCATCCATGCAGAGATGTCTGCCAGGCAGTCTGAAAACTGTGCGGCTACCATTGGATCATCTGGTCGAAATGAGATATAGAGCTGTGTGTCATCAGCATAGCAATGGTAGGAGAAACCAAGTTCCTGTATGATGGGACCCAGTGATGTAGTGTATATGGAGAAGACAATGGGTCCAAGAGCTCATCCCTGAGGAACCCCAGTGACCAGTTGATGTGCTTTGGATACCACCCCTCCCTAGGCCGCCCTGAAAGACCTACCAACCAGTGAGATAGGATTCAAACAAGCAAAGTGGAATCCCTGTGATGCCCCGTGATGAGAGGGTGGACAGGAGGATCTGATGATTCACAGTGTCAAAAAAACAAAAAACAAACACACAGCTTTCCATTTCAAAAGACATACATTGATGGACTGGAGTGGTGTGGATTACTTGTGAATTATTGTGATGTTTTTAGCAGCTATTTGGACTCTCATTCTGATGGCACCCATTCACTGCAGAGGATCCATTGGTGAACAAGAGATGTGATGCTAAATTTCTCAAAATCTGTTCCCATGAAGAAACAAACTCACCTACATCTTGGAATGCCTTTTCAAAATTTCATTTTTTTTTTCTTTTCCTATGTTTAGAAGTACATACTTTTTTATTATAGGATATATTTATATATTTCTCTTTTTCTTTTTAACTGATATTACACAGTGATTTGAGAAAATTTTGTTTTGAGTAGTGCTGTCAAATAATTAATCGCGATTAATCACACCCAAAATAGCAGTTTTTGTTTATGTAATATATCACCTTTATTTATATAGCGCTTTTAACAATACAGATTGTGTCAAAGCAACTGAACAGCATTAATTAGGAAAATAGTGTGTCAATAATGCAAAATGACAATAGTAAACACTAATTTTCCAGTTAAAGACAGTTCATCATTGAATTCAGTGATGTCTTCATTCAGCTCAGTTCAGTTTAAATAGTATCTTTGCAATCATTTGCAATCAAGTCAACAATATCGCTGGAAATGAAGTGTCCCCAACTAAGCAAGCCAGAGGCGACAGCGGCAAGGAACCAAAACTCCATCGGTGACAGAATGGAGATTGTTTGTGGATATGCTCGGCCCTGGCAGCTTTTAGAGCCTGTCTATAGCTGGACATACTGTTTTTCCATGCAATTCTAAAAACTTCCAAGTTCGTTTATATGTGTGTGTGAACTGTGTATATTTATTATGTATATATAAATACACACATACAGGATATATTTTGAAAATATTTACATGTATATACACATGTATATATTTATATTTGCATAATTTATATTATATATAAATATATTTAATATAATATAATTTTTCTTAAATATATACATGCATGTGTGTGTGTTTATATATACATAATTAATATACACAGTACACACACATATACTATGTAAACAAAAACTTTTATTTTGGATGCGAATAATCACAATTAATGTTTGACAGCACTAGTTTTGAGCTTGGTGAGAACAACTGAATAGATGTGTTACATTTTTGGTGTGAAAGTGCCTTAAGATTATATATTTTTAATATCATTCAACAGGCGATCTCCTGTTGCTATACTTACCCTGGGAAATAAAATTCTTCTCAAATTTCTGTAAGAACTCCAGGTACAACAAGTCATCTGATGTCAGTGCTTCTTCCACAACCACAGCCTTCATTGCCTGCACATCTTTCCCGATAGCAAGCATACTGCAAAAGATGAGAAATAATTTAAATCAAATTTAAATCTCCATACATAATGTGTTCAAAACATCGGATGGATAACATTAACTAATATTTAAGCAATTTCCTCTAAAAAGCTGTTTAAATTAGCATAGTGAAGCCTCTCCTTTATTGACATCCATTAAAAAAAAATTAAATAAAAACGGACTCTGGTCTCCTTTCCCACGTACTGCCAAAGTGGAAGCGTTAGTTTGAGCCATTACGCTTTTTCAGCTAAAGGTTGCAGGCATGGCTTCTAGTGGCTTTGATGCC